TGGTGGCCGTTCCCACCGACACGCTGTACGGCCTGGCCTGCTCGGCCGGCTGCTCGGCGGCACTGGACGCCGTGTACCGCCTCAAGGGCCGCAGCGAGGTGAAGCCGCTGGCCGTGTGCCTGGGCCGCGTGGCCGACGTCTACAGGTGAGGCCGCCCCGACCCGGCCCCACTGGGGGCGGCACCGCGGGAGGGGCTTCCGGTGACAGGCTTGGGAGACTGAGGCGCTGGGCGCGGGAGGGGCTCCCCGAAGAATCCGGAACTGGAAATATGTACCGAACCTTTGGCGTGTGCCAGGTCCCCGGCTGGGCGCTGAGCGACCAGCGACGCCGGAGGCCGGCCGTGCCGCGCCCCTCAGGCGCTCCCGTGCGTGTGCGGGGCGGCCCTCGGCAAGGAAGCAAACCCGGAACTTCATTGTAGCAGCGAATGCCTTTCCAAAAGAAAAAAAGAATAATTTAAACAGGGCTTGAGACTTGCCACAGTAAATCACAGCGCTTTTCCTGTTGTAGTTCCCAAAATAAACGAGGGCTCCAGGCCCGGGTGCTTCTCTGCAGCCCTGCCTTCTGCGCAAGCTCTTTGGGAGGGGAAGCAGGAGGATAGGTGGAGCATTTGTAGACCCAAAGGAACCCTTTTCCTGGAATTGCCTAGAGGCCAGGAAAGGCTCACCATTGGCTCAGTTGGCTCTTCATTTGGAGTAAGTTTATGCTCCTTTGTTTCCCAGGTACTGCCAAGTGACAGTGCCTGAGGAGCTCCTGAAAGACCTCTTGCCAGGACCAGTGACCCTGGTGATGGAACGCTCCGGGGAGCTCAACAAAGACCTCAACCCTTTTACTCCTGTGAGTCAAGTTACCTTCTGTGTGTCAGACTTTTTCTGACCATTTGGCTTTTCAGGATCCAGAGTAGATCCATTCTCTGTCTTTGCCAACTTTCCTGATAATTCCCTTTCCTCTTGCCTCGTAGCTTGTAGGCATCAGAATTCCTGACCATGCCTTCATGCAAGACTTGGCTCAGATGTTTGGGGGGCCTCTTGCTCTCACAAGTGCTAATCTCAGCTCCCAGACCAGTTCTCTGAACATAGAGGTGAGAATTGCCCAATCCTTCCCCTGGAAGCCTCAGAAGGCCAAAAATGGTTTCCTCTGAACCAGTGTGCTGGAACTGCCTGGTAGGAGAGTGGCTCTTTGGGTCCACCCTCGGGAAGTCTACTCAGTTGCCATGAGTTGAGGGAGAGCATCCAAATGAAAAAAACACTTAGGAACGGTTTTGTATAATAGGAAAGACTTTGATGAAACAACTGTCTTTGTTAGAGATTTCTGTTAGGCCATAAATCTTTAGTAGTCCTGTGAAGATGAAATTGGGACCTGAAAAGTCACTTCTAGTCACACAGCCATTAAGTGACTAGATTTTTACATAAGTTTTGACCTTCATCTCTTATCTCTGCCACAAGGCAGGCCAAAGAAAGAATTATTCTTTCTTCGCTACATAGTTTAGAAGACATGGGAACAGAAAGAAATTTCACTTACTTTTCTTTTTAAATTTAAATATAAAGTGACAAGGGTTTTCTATGCCCAGACCTAAGTGAGCTCATGGGCTTCAGAAATTGAGAGCTGCATGCTTCTCCTTTTCATGAGAATGGTGGCTTCGCTTGGTCTTGGTTTGCAGGGATGGACATGTGACAAGGAGAGAGGAAAGGTCTTACCTTGTCAACCATCAGTTGACCTGGCCAACATAGTAACTGGTGTTTTTCTGCTACGTTGAGTTCCTAGCCCTAAGTGTATTACATTGTCATCAAGTGGGGAGCTCTAGTGCAGCAAACAATTCAATCCACAATTTTGGCTAGAGCAGCCTTACCACAGCTCAGAATGAGTGATGTGGCACGTATTTGCAGAGCTCATCCTATTTTATTCCTCCTGTCCTGATCCACAGTCCATGAAGATCCAGGATCAGAATGCTAGAGCTGGAAGGACCCTTAGTGGTCAAATGTCCAGCCATCTTATTAGAAGGGTTAGATGAAGTGCCTTGCATGTGTCCCATGGGTATGATGGAATGTTTAGGATCAAAGCCCACATCTATAGATGCCCACCAGAGTCCCAGGTAATCCACTCAGGCCTCCCTAACAGCAATGAGTTTAATGTCCTTTTAAGTTCTAGACAGGTGTTATATGGGACTTTTACTCAGAAAGGCAAAACCTGTTAGGATGTGGTATCCAGGCAATCCTAACCTTAACTAAGATGGTTCTTCTGCTAGAGGAAGATGCCTCCTGTTTCAAAATTAGGGTCTTTGCTTATCTATGCTGAGTGTGCAGTATGCTTGGCCATGCTTTTCCTTTCCCTCTTCTCAGGAATTCCAAGACCTCTGGCCTCATTTGTCCCTGGTCATTGATGGGGGACCAATTGGGGATGGCCAGAGTCCTGAATGTCGCCTTGGTTCTACTGTGGTTGACTTATCTGTGCCTGGAAAATTTGGCATTATTCGTCCAGGCTGGTAAGTCTCTTTGCTATGCTATAAAGATAGAATTTTAGGGAAATTAGAGAAATGAAACAAAGTTTTGAGGAAGTGAAGGTTGTTACTTCTTAGTCTTGCTCTGGGCAGGGAAGAGGAGGATGAGGTAGACATGGAGAAGTGGCAGGTACATTGGGACTAGATTTGCTGGTGTTTCCTCCTTTTTAGGATCCATCAAGTGTTTGATGAATAGAGCATGAGACTAGTACCTTAGAGGTCCGTGATCAGCAGACTCTGGTGGACTCAGGGCTTTGAGAAGTTAGACAATAACTAACTTCTGTGTCCTCCTCAGTGCTCTGGAAAATACTACAGCAATCCTCCAACAGAAGTACGGGCTGCTCCCTTCACATGGGTCCTGCTCGTGACACTCAGGAGGGAGGACCAAGGACACTGCTGGATACTATGTGTCTGCCTGCTGCTGGTTGTCAGGCCTCATTTGCAGAGGCCAGTGGAGCCATGTCCCTAGCCCAGCTTTGGGCAGCATGTCTTTCTGGACATTGCATACCAGAAACTGCTGGTTTACCCTCACGCTTCGTATGGAGGGTGAGGGGAGTAGATTATATTATTCCATAGTTTCATATATCAGCCAAAAGTTGAATAAAGATTAAGAACATTCCTAGGATGGCCTGACTCTAATAATAGTTTTTTTTTTTCCTTTCTTCCCTCCTCCTCTTTTTAATTGTGAAATATTTTAAACCAGGCATAGTAGTGCCTGTGCCTGAAATCAAAGCACTTATAATTCCAGCACACAGAAAGGATTATAAATTCAAGGACAACTTGAGCTACATAGTATTCAAGGCCAGCCAGGTTACATAAAGTAAAGAGAAGTAATTTTAAGTAACAGATTTAGAAGCTAGTGAGAGCTTCCTCTGGTGGTCCAAACCAACTAGAAGTGCTAGCGTAAAGTCCCAGGGAACCAGCACAAGGATTTGGACTCTTGAAGCTGGAATCTGGTTAGGATAAACATTGTAAAGCTATAAAGCAAACTCTCCTTTGAGCCAGAAGACAATCATTTTGATCTAATGATGGAAATACTGGAGAGGGATCCAAATTAAACAATAGCTGAAAACAAACCTATAATATCCTTTTTAGCCGTACTTCCTTATTTATCCCTAGCATAAGTTATATGCGTAATTTATTTAACTCCAGTGTTTACTCAGCAGCTTATTCATATGTATATCAAGTGTTATACATAATTATTGGGCATTTCGAACTTTTAATAAAAATGCTATTAAACACATTTGTAAATGGTTTATTTTTTTTCTGAATTATTTCCTTAGGGTAGCATTACCAGGTCAAAGTTATATATGCATTTATGGCTCTCTTCAAAGAACTGAGTCAAGTTTCACTGCCTTCAGCAGTGTGTGAGGTGGCTACCTCTTTATGCTGGCCTTGCCATATTTTTCCAGTTGTGTATGTGTGAAATGAAATCACTACAGGCCAACATCCATGTCTTTCCACTGGCATTGCCTACCTTGGTTTCCCTAGTGAATGCACAAGCGAGTTGCCAGGCTGATGGGGTTTTGTGTCAGTTACTCAGGGCTATGTGTCCTTGAGAGAGGACCCTAGGTTCCACTTACTGCCCCTTGGACTCGATTTTCAGAATTGTGAGTCAGTCTTGAGTCTGTAAATCTCAGTACAATGGTTTTCAATACACACTGCCTCAATTATATTCTAAGAATCTTGGCGTGGTATTCAAGAGGCCTGCTTTTTTAGGGCCTTTGCAATTAACATTAGTTTCTAAATAAGCACTGGGTTGTGTTAACTATTCCCTCTATAAGTTTCACTTAATCTAGTAATTTTTAAAGCTGATCTACTCTTCATTGTGCCAAAACTATAGCCTGCCCAATCCTAAATCAGTTAGTCACAGAATCTGAAGTCAAGATTTATGAGGTCTTAAGGGCAATAAACCTGTAATTGAGGATACTACTTCATACAAATCATAAGAGCACTGAAAGTGGCTCTAGTGAGAGCTTCAGCCTGTTCTGGCAGCTAAAGGGAGAGGGTGTTCTGGTCCTCTCCCTGCATTGTGTTCATCTGAGCTTGGAAATGAAAAACAATTGAACTCCCAGCAGAAACTGAAAAAAAAAAAAAAGATTGCACCTAGGAGGTACTAGCCAAGGAGGCCACACCAAACAGAATAGAAGCCTATAAGCTTTGAGGACATGACTTCCTCAGTCAGGTTTTCCCCAGCTCCAGACTCATCCTGCAGTGCTCAGTTAATAGGTGTTGAATGTGTGAATGCTCAAGATTGTTCCTGATAACTGGGTTTAGGAATCTGGATCCAGTTAAGCCTGTAAGTTCCTTTTTTACAAAGTCAAGTATGTTTCCCTATCTTTGAGAAGACAAATGATTCTGGAACGAGGCCTAAAGAGAAGATGCACACTGGCAGAGGGAACAGGGTGCAAGCTGGGTCAACCCTGAGAGCCAAGAGCAGTAACTGGACAACTCCATTACATAAACCACCACCTGCCACAGCTTAAAGCAGAAGGATTCTATGAAACTTCTGAGGATGTGGAGCTGCTCTGCCTTGGGTTCTGGGCAGTCACCTGCTAGCCCAATACCCCAACACCACCTGTCTGGGCCCTGTGGAAGCATGGTGGCCCATCAAGAAGCACCCAACTGTTTTATTCTGGGAACCAGTGAGTGAACCCACACAATGCTATCCTCTACTGAGTTTTGAATGTCAGCCCCTCACATCAGCCACTGCTCCTTCTCCTTGATGAAGTGCTCCGCCCATCGGCGAGTCAGCTGCAGATACAGACTGGGTTGATGAGGCAGGTAATCTAAATACAGGCGAGCTGGTGTCTTCTTTGGAACGGCCTTCTCAATCTGTGTGCCCTCGTGCCATTCATTGAAGGAGGTGATGGAAACAATCTCAGGCCTCACACTCAGGGCAGCCTGCAAGGCTGTCTCATAGTACTTCCCATTGACCCTGTTCCGTGTATTGTGGTTGTTCCAAGGCCTAATGCTGGTGTCAATATAGCCAGGCCCAACACTGGGAATGAACATGAGGTTGTTGGCATCACAAAAGTTCTTCACAGCTTTCCAGTTCTGATGGGAGGAGCCAAAGGAGAAACCATTGGAGGCAAAATAGGTGTACATGCCATCAAATCCTGCAGCCAGGATGTCGTGGGTGTGGCCCTCCTCCACCAACAGTGCTATGAAGACCCCATCATAGGGGGAGTTGCGAATCGAATGGGGCCCGTTAGGTGTTAGGAGGTGGGCCCAGGCCTCAGGAGACGTCAGGTATGAATCGTAGATATAAAAGAGTGGGAGGCTCTTGCCCATGCTGTTCTTGTAGCGGTAAAACGCACCATGAGAGCCATACCTGCAGGGCAGGGGGAAGGAGCCTGAGTTGCATGTGAGAAACCAGCACAGCTGTGAGATGGTTGGGATGGTTCTCCTCATGCACAGGCATCTTAGGATGCAGCAGCTAGTATCCAGTTAGACTGACCTTCCTTTCTCAGCCGGGTCATCCCTAAACCTTACTTCTCCATGCTTAGCCAAGCCACCACCTTTTTTCCTCTGGACAGTGGCAATAGCCACTTAGCTGGTGTCTCTGCTTTCACTCTGGCCTTCCTATTTCTTCTCATTAAAATATAACTCAGGTCTGGGAAGGTGGCTCAGTGGTAGAGTGCTTGCCTTGCATACATGAGGCCCTGGGTTAGATTCCTCAGCACCACATAAGCAAACAAAGAAAAAATCCAGAAGTGGTGCTGTGGCTCAAGTGGTAGAGCATTAGCCTTAAGCTGAAGAGCTTAGGGACAGCACCCAGGCCCAGAGTTCAGGCCCCACGACTGGACCCCCTGAAAAAAAAATATATATATATATCTCAAACTTAAACCAGGAGCTAAGAGTCTCCGCTTACTTGGTGTGATCCTACCCCTCTCCTTTCCTGTGACCACCTTCTCCATTCCCTTGTCTACCTTGTCTCTTATCCTTTTTTAGGCCCTTCCTTCTGCCAGCCTTCTGTATGAAACTTCTTCCTTCCCTCAGATCTTTTTAGATCTGAACCCTCTTCCAGGGCCTTATGCATACTAAAGCAAGGTTGTGTGTGTGTGTGTGTGTGTAGCGTAACTGCATTTATTTCTCACAATTCTGGAATCTGGGCAGTTCAAAATCAAGGTGCCCAAGAGAGTTTTGGGTCAGGGCTCACTCCCTGACTAGCAAATGATTACCAATTCACAAATTCAGAAAAACAAGAACAAGAACTTTTTTTTAATGCCTGTTGTGGGGCTTGAACTCTGGGCCTGGGTGCTGTCCCTCAGCTTTGAACCATATATGATCTTCAATCTCAGCCTCCTGGGTAGCAAGGATTACAGATGTAAGCCACTGGTACCTAAACCTCAAGTAGTTTTGTCAGTATGGAGCTTCAACTCAGAGCCTGGGTGCTGTCCATGAGCTCTTTTGCTCAAGGCTAGCACTCTAGCACTTTGAGCCACAGCTCTACTTCCAGTTCTGGTGGTTAATTAGAAGAGTCTTATGGACTTTCCTGACCTGACTGGCTTTGAACCTTAATCCTCAGATCTCAGCTCCTGGGTACCTAGGATTACAGGCATGAGCCACCAGTCCAGTGCCCAACTCTCAAGTAGTTTCTTGTTTCTTTTTTCTTTCTTTCTTTCTTTTTTTTTTTTTTTTGGTCAGTTGTGGGGCCTGGAACTCTGTCCCTGAGCTCTTCAGCTCAAGGTGAGTGTTCTACCACTTGAGCCACAGCACCACTTCTGGTTTTCTGGTGGTTAGCTGGAGATAAGAATCACAGACTTTCCTGCCTAGGGTGGCTTTGAACAAAGATCCTCAGATCTCAGCCTCCTGAGTAGCTAGGATTATAGGCATGAGATACCATCACCTGGCTTGAATAGTTTCTTGAGGGCTGAAGAGTAACTTGGTAGCACAGCATACACACAAGGAGAGAGGGAATTTCTCTTCGGTAAACTCTTGACTTAAAACTGCTTTATTTCTTACGTTTTCTTAGTATGGGCCACTATTTTGTTTTCCCTCTTTAATTTTTCTTGGCTTTCCTGTACCTCTAACACACTAGAATGTAAACACTGAAATCAGAAACTTTCCTAGCTGTGTCCATTACTGTATAACTGACAGTACTTAGGTACACATAAACATTTAGATTTTTGGGCTGGGAAGGTGGCTCAGTGGTAGGGTGCTTGCCTTGCATGGGTTCAATTCCTCAGCACCACATAAACAGAAAAGGCTGGAAGTGGTGCTGTGGCTCAAGTGGTAGAGTGCTAGCCTTGAGCTGAAGAGCTGAGGGACAGTGCCTGGGCCCAGAGTTCAGGCCACATGACCAACAAAAAAAGATAATTTTAAAAAATGACATTTTTTTTTGGAGGCAGGGAGCAGGTGCCTGTAAAGTTAGCTGCTATCCAGGAGGTACAGACCAAGAAGATCATGGTATCTCAGCAGCAAAAACTAGGCATGGTGGCACATATTTGTCATCTCAGCTACAGCAAGAAGTGTAAACAGGATCAGGGTTCGGGCCAGCCTGGGCAAAAAATAAGACCCTATCTCAAAAATAAAAAGGGTGGAGGTATGACTCATGGAGCTAGCAAAAGTAAAAGCATCTGGATCAAACCTCAGTTCTGCCAATAAAACAAAAATAAATTCCTGACTACTCAATGGTATAGAACTGGAGGATCATGGTTCAAAACATAGCCCAGGCAGAAAAGTCCATTAGGCTCCATCTCCAGAATAACCAGCAAAAAGCTGGGCTGGGACATGGCTGAAGTGGTAGATTGCCAGCTATGAGCAAGAAAGAGCATAAGGTCCAGAGTTCGAACCTCAGTACTAGAAAGAAGTAAAAAAAGATTTTATGAATGATACTGTGCAAGCACTGTAAGAATCACATGTATGTATTAGATAACTCAAAGCTTATGAAGCTTGCCTCTTATCAGACTGCAGAACTGGAGTTGACATTCAGATTGTCTGACTCTTAAGTCCAGCACCTTCTTCCTCTAAAACAACTATGGGGCGGGGCGGGGGGGGCACTTGTGTGGTTCAAGTGGTAGAGCAACTACCTAGCAAGTCCAAGACCCTGAGTTCAACTTCAGTGCCACCAAAACAAAAACACTGTGAGTAAGTCTCTTACTTGACTGTCAGCCTACTCCTACCTTGATTCCCAGCAACACCCAGCCCCTGGAGCAGCCTTACGTGTCAATGATGTACTTGATGTTGTCATGTACAGTGATGTCATCCCGGCCCTTGTAGGGTTGGATGTGGAAGGCCACCTGTGACAAACAGAGCAGTTACTGGTCAGTGAATATATGTCCACGGGTCCTTCGGGTGGGCTACTGCAGGGTAGCCAACAACTCCCCCTCTGTGCCAGCTCCAGTGAATGGCACTGGCTGCCTGAAACCACTGGAAGCAGTGGACAGAGCAATGGATGGGAAGGTGCTGTGTCTGTTCAGTGCGGGTTCAGGGATGAGGAGTGGGCTTTTCTGTGTCCTTCCTACTTCACCACAGCAGTATCCAAGTGGTATGTCTAGGGAAAATGGCCTCATGTTAGCTCATGTCCTTCCACCTGAAGGTGACCCTTCCTGCTTAGCACCTGGTCCAACACTGCTTCCAGAGTTCAGTCTGAATTCAGTCTGCAGGCTTATTGGGCTCTTGCTTAGCAGGGACAGGGTCTGTAACCTACATTAAGTTTTCTCAGAATTCAAGAAAGTAAATTGTATAGACCTTCCCTTAATACCACACTCAATGTTTAGCTATTCCTGGACAGCTGCTAAGAGCTCCCCTAGAGGCACTGTGAGTAAAGGGCAATCTCCACAGAAAACAGATGACCTTTTCTTAGAAACTCACCTGGATGTTGTGCTGATGGGCAGTGTCCAGAATGGCAGGTACCAGGTCATCTGAGGGCTCCCCATTATCATCAGCCATGCCAGGCGGGTACCAGGAGAGGACCAAGACGCCTGAGACAGGACAGAGGCCTGGTAGGAAATACAGTGTGCCCCTCCCCCAAACCAACTCTAGCTGCAAAATAATTCCTGAAAATCTTGGGCCAGGTTCATCCTAGGCAGATTACACCCCAAGAGTTTCGCGTTCTGGAGCTGTCCTCACCAGAGGTGCTGAAATTGCTGCCAAAGGAGCAGTAGCATGCCACACCAGCAGGAAGCCCAAGTCTAGTGCATCCGCAAGTGGCATAACAAGCAGGAGTGAGCAGGTGGCCACCAACACTACTATCACCCACCTGGAGTCCACATGGATGAGAGCCCTGCTTAGAGGTCAACTTGCTTTCTACAGGATACAGCATTTTTGCCTTGATTATCCATCTGCCCCTCTGTACTGTAAACCTAGACAGTTCCCCTAGACCCCTATTTTATTTGTCTTTGTAAGACTCCCCACCCACCTCTTTGTAGTTCCCTTATCTTTTTACTTTCTATGTTCTTTCTTCTACTCCCCCTCACATCCTTTAGACAAAGTCCTGTTATGTAGCACAGGCTGGCCCCAAACTGGTGATCCTTCTACTTCAGCCTTTCAAGAGCTAAAGTTATAGGCATGTGTTGCCAGGCCAGGCTACTGTCATTCCATTTTCCTCCTACTTACAAGCTATCTCCAAGCATACTGACTGTACTGTAAAATCCAGCAGAATTCAGTGACAAAATCTGAACCAAGCCTCCAATGTGGGAAGATCCCAGGCAGGGCCCGGTCTTCGAGTTAGGCATTTGATGAAAACTGTCTGCCCAGCAACATGGGCAAACTTTCTTCTCTGCAGTCAGCAGAAACAAGAATAGCTACTGCTTTCTTCTGCACCTGGACTCCATGACTCCATGCTCCTGGGGGGTTTCCTAGGCCTTGCTTACCTGGAACTTGGAAGTCCAGTAGATATGAAGTCTGCCTCCCTCTCTTTGCTGTCCCTACCTAGGACAGATCTGGCGCGTACCCAGCAGCTCTGCCCTGTAGCAGGGCCCTGGAGCTGTTGGGTCAGGACAGGCAAAGGGAATACTAGAAGGAAAGGGCAGTGCTAAGTAGTGGGCCCAGGATGAGAGCGGGAGGGATAAAAAATCAGGCTGGTGGAGAGTGGTGCCAGTGAGGGGACTGCAGGGGTTGGGGTGGGGTGGGGGGGCCTCACCGATGGCCGCTTCCTTGAGCTGGGTCATGTGCTCTCGCAGCACGTCGGGGTCCCGGGAGCTGTAAGGCCCCAGCTCCGGGTAGAAGCTGGAGCCCAAGTCGTCCGGGGGGCTGTGGCGGCCGCGGGGGTAGCTGGCCGAGATCTTGGGGTCCCAGTGCGGCACCATGACGTGGTCCCAGTGGATGTAGTGGCCCTCGCGTCGCGGGCTGCCATACCACGAGTAGTAGAAGGCGTGCAGGTCTGAGTAGACGCTCAGACTCCGCCCGGGGGCGGGCTCGGCCTCGGCGGGGCCCGGCCCGGACGAGCTGCGGGGGTCCGCAGTGCGGGGCGCCGGTG